CATCCATGAATCCCGAACGGGACACGCGTGCGCGCGTGGAGCCAGTCCGGCGAGGACCGTTCGCGCCGCGCGTGTAGATCAGTCGCGGCGCGCGGCATGACTAATGCACGCACGCGGCATCTGCGAGTTGCGGCGCTCCGCGCTGCCCAACTGCGCAGCGCCCACACATGCGCGGGGCCGACGGCGAGCAGCCTCGCGCGAGGAGCGCTCCTTGAGACGTTTGGAGACGCCCTCAGCAGACTCCCGCGACCGCAATGTCGCGCAGGCGCCCCCCGCCGAGTGTCCCAGCGGCACTGCGGCAGTCGCAGGCGAGTGGCCCGGCGGCCCCTCTGTCGCACGGTCGAGGGGCCCTTGCGAGAGATTCACCATGGACTCCCTGACTTCGTGGCGCGCGCGTAACGAGACGGGAGTCTGCCACCTGGGGTCCGCGCAGACATGGAGGACGTGCGCTTAGAACACGCAGGCAAGGACGGCGCCCGCGCGGCAGGAGTCCCCGTGGGCGTCCTCGGGAGCGCTGGGGATGCTACGTGCGTCCGCGCGCTGCCATGGAAGTAGCAGCATCCGCGCGCGCGGAGCCCAGTGGGAGCCCGTCCATGTCCTGCGCGCGGGAATCGCCGGTGCAGGGAAAGCCCTTCGCGGGCGCCAGAATTTTGGAAAACGACTGGTCCGCGAAGCCCATCTGCGCGGAGCAGCCACCGCGCGCGCGCGCGCCGGGAACTGCGCGGAGGGCAAATGGAAAGCGAAAAGCCACGGGGTGGCGCGCCCGCGCCTGCTGAAAGAGCCCCTGCACAGACGCAGGGGCGCGCGCGGTCGCGCGAAGACAGCCATCGGAAGCACGCGTGTCAGAGCAGGCGAGCCCAGCAGCAGGCCATGCCCGCGCAACTCTGCAACGAGGGCAGATGCAAAGCCCCGCGACGAGGCCCGTGGAGTTCCAATGGCAGACAAGCCTTTGCGAACACACCCACAGACACACACGCGCGCACACACGGACACACACTTAGGGGAGTAACTCGTAAGGCGCACGGGAGAAGTCCGATTTGGGAACAAGCGCGGCGCCGAGTTTCCCCGGAGACTGGAGGGCGGTGTCTGGCAGGCCGAGCATTGCGCCGTCGCCTGTCCGCATCGGTCCACGATGGCCGCCCGAACGCTGGCGCGCGCAACTTTTGCCTGGGCGCCCGCGGAGCAAGACGCCCACCCGGACATGCGCAGTGCGCGGGAGCCACGGCAGCCGGCTTTTGTCTGCGAGCGCTGCGTTTTGCGTCTGGCGCTGGGTGGGCGAGGCTTTCCGAGGCACTCGCTCCTGCTGGTGCTCCCTGCCGCTTGCACCTGGGGTGACGACGCCAGTCTCTGCGCGTTGCTGCAGTGGCCCCTTTTCCATGCACTTGGAGCGCCGCACGGAGAGTGAAAGTGGACTTGCGGAAGTCGCTCGGCGACTACTTCCGCTCATGCTTTGGCCAGGCAGGGCCCATGGCGAACCGCTTCCAGGGGCGCCAGCGCACCATGTTCAGCAGCGCGTTGCGGTACTCCCCGTAAGAATTCGCCACCGCCTCGGACATCACGAACGCACGTCTCGCCTGCCGCGCGCGACGCAGGACAGGCAGCCCGCCGCGCACCTGGCGGGGGGGCCCCGACGACGCAGTGGCGCGGTAGCGAAGAGGTTCAGGAGCAGCCCACCCACGTGCTCAATTTTGATGCAGCGGAGAGCTTGCGCCATCATCGCGCAGGCGGCCTTTGCTTCGATGCCCAGGCGGAGTTCGACAGGATGAGGGCAGGAGCCTCTTCGAGCTGCGCCAGAGCACGCTCGTGGCCCCTCATGCGCCACAGGGCCCCCCAGCGCGCGGGGCCGACGGCGACGGCGACCAGCCTCGCGCGAGGAGCGCCTCCTGAAACGTTCGCCGCCACCTTCTCCGGGCTCCCGCGACCACGATGGCGCGCAGACGGACCGCGCCGTGTTTCCCGGCGGCACGCCAGCGGGCAGGCGGCCCCTGCGTGGCGAGCGCGCAGGGCCGGAGCCAGAGATTGTCTCTGGAATCCCCGACGCGGGCCCGCGCGCGGAACGCGAGAGTCCGCCGCCCGGGAAAGCGGGCGCTGCCGCTCCGCACTCACATGGAGGACGCACCGCAAGGAAAACGCAGGCAAGAAAGAACGGACTCCGCGCGGCAGGTGCCCCGTGGACCTCCGCGGGAGCGCGAGATGCCGCGGGCGCGAGGTCGCTGAAACGGAAAAGGGTGCATTCGCAAAACTGGCGCATGCCCAGCGGTGGCCCGTCGATGCTCCGCGCGCGGGAAATGGCGGCGCAGGGAATGGCATGCGCGGGGTGAGACATGGAGACGAAGAGGCGATCCGTGCGTCCCATCTGGGCGGCATGGCCATCGCGCGCGCGCGCCCGCGCGCTGGGGACTCCATGGCGGGCAAGAAAGAGGCGGAAAGCCACCGGGTGGCGCGGCCGCGCCTGAGAGAGCCCCTGCACGCGCACAAGAGCGCGCGCGGTCGGGGAAAGAGTCGAAGCGGATGCACTCGCGGCAGACCAGGAGAGCCGATTAGCAGGCCATGGCCGCACGAATCTGCAGTCATGGCATCCTTGCAAAGGCCCCCCATGAGGACCATGACATGCCCATGGAGCACGAAACGCTGAGAACACATTGACGGGGTCACCCTTACGCCTCAAAGGAAAGTGCCAAGTGGGGGACAATGGGCGGCGGCGGGTTGCGCCGGAGGCTGGAGGATGCTGTCTGGCAGGCCAAGCAAAGCGCCGTCGCCTGGCCCCATCGCTCCACGATGGCCGCCCGGACGCTGGGGCGCGCAACTTTTGCCTGGGCGCCCGCGAAGCAAGACGCCCACCCCGACATGCACAGGGTGTGGGAGCCGCGACAACAGGCCTTGGTCTGCGTGCGCTTGGATTTGCGTCTGGCGCTGGCTCGGCGCGTCTTTCGGAGCCACTCCTTCCTGCTTGCGCTCCCAGCCGCTTGCGCCTGCGGCAACGACGCCATTCTCCTGGCGATGCTGGCGTGGCCCCTTTTCCGTACGCGTGGAGCGCCGGACCGGTAGGCCACGGTGGACTCGCGGATGTCGCTCTGCGTGAGCTTCTGCTCCTGCGCAAGCACGAGAGGGTCCAGGGCAAAGCACATCTTGGGGCACTGACGCACCATGTTCAGCAGCGCGTTGTCCGCAGGGAAGCCTTTGCGAAGGTATTCACAGTAAATCTCCGCCCCTGCCGGGAGTACCAACCTCCCCTCCTCCCATGAGCGGCGGCTGAAGCGAAACCTTCAGCGCAGCCCAATAGGAGAGCGTTTTATTTCGGCGGTTGAGGGCGCAACTTACGGCGCAACCAAGTGGTTGCAATTTATTCGCGGCGGCCGATTGCACAACCTATGACGCACCCGATAGGACGCGTGTTGGGGTTCTGTTTTTGAAGACGCAACCCGCAGCGCAACCCATATGAGTGCTTGTCCCCCTCTGCGGCCGAGGGCACACCATATGCCGCGCCCAGCGGGGGAACTGTCGCAGTTCCGTCGGCAACGGGGGCGATTGCGTCGGCGGCGGCGGCGGCGGCGGCGATGATGGCCACCGCCACCACGACGCCCAATGCAACGATGGGCACGCCGACGTTGGGAAATGGTTAGTTCCCCAGCCCAGAGGGGGGAGGCGGAGGAGGACATGCCACTCGGGAGGGGACCCCTTGTCGAGCTTGCCAGCAGGGCGTCATCTCCAGGAGAGGTCCTCTCATCGGTGGCGCCTTCTGCGCCGTTGTTTCAACCGAAGGCGCATAAAAATGACCGCGGTCATTTTTATGCGGCTGTCGTGCTAGGCTGAGATCGGCCTTGGGTCAGTTGGAGTGGGCGGGCCACCGACGCCTTGGTTGCGCAACCTGCGTCGCAAGCAGACCCAGACATGCGACGTCCTGAAAACATCAGGGCAAAGGTTTTGGCAGTTTCTTCGGCCTCCTGGATCGTGCGCATTGGATGTTCAATTCTTGCGCATCGCGATGCGGCTGCCACCCTAGCAAAGCGCGTTTTCGAACCGTATTCCAGCAAGGAGAGGCGCCAACTTTAGGACCACGAAATGAGGGGCCCGAACGACTCACCCCGACCGAGAAGCGGGGGGGCCGAACGACCCACCCCCGACCGAGAATTGAGGGGCCCGAACAACCCATCTCCGATCGAGAGCGGGAGGCCCGAACGACCCATCCCCGACAGAAATGACTGGCCCGAACGACCCACTTCCGACCGAGAGAACGGAGGGCCCCGACCGACTCACTTCCGACCGATAACTGATGGGCCCGAACGACTCACCTCCGACCGAAAACGGAGGGGCCCGAACGACTCACCCCCGACCGAGAATTGAGGGGCCCGAGCGGTTCATGTCCGCCCGCACCCAGGGAGTTGGGTGGATTGCAGTGTCATTGCAAAGCGTTGCATTGTCACTGCGCGCTTCCGATCGGGAAACTCGAGGCGCCATCTTGGGACTCTGAAGGCCCTTCTGGGAGACTTCTTGAGGCTCATGGTTGGCCTCCCCTCCGAGCTCGAGGGAGCTCGGAGGGCCGCCAGCACCCTACCCGCCGCCCCCAGAGGCGCATCCAGGATAGCCTCCCGAAGGCCCCTGATCACATTTGTGATGTCCCAGCCCCCTCCCCCTACATGGCGGCCCGGCCCAGCACTGTAGGGCCGAAGATTTGCCTCAGAGGGGCAACGCCGACAGTTATGACGATCACACCGCCCCCAAAATGGCCCAAAGCGGTTCGCAGAAGCCACCGAGGCACGGCAACAATGGCCCGCGAGGCCCTTACCGAGCCACCAAGATAAGCCACGAAAAACGCGCCCACCCAAAACAACATAACACATCCAGAATCACCCCGAGAAACCACCAGGAAACAACCGAGAAGCACCACTGGAAACAGTGCCTTCAGGATGCCTCTGAACGACAGCGCAGGCACGGCAGCGGCATGAGCCGAAGGTCTTAGTTAATATGCAAGCGCATGTGCAAACAGGATTTGTCAAGGTTCACGGTTCGCTGATGTTCCAATGGCTCACCTCCATCTCAGCTTCCGCGACCTCCATGCAGAGCTTCTCGATGTACTCCAGGACGCTGCTCAAGACGGGGATGCCGCCGTCGCCCGCCATGATCAGCGGCTCAATGATTTTTTTACCCACCACCTGCGAAAAGAACGACACCTTCCACGGCGAGTCCAGACACTCGCACAGCGCGGCCTTCGGAGCCTTCACGTTGTAGACCTCGCCAGCGGTGACCTGCGACGCCCGCCAAGGCAAGGTAATGGTGACCAGCTCCTTGGCCATGTTCTCGTCGCACTTGCCCTTGAGTTGCTCGTTCTTCACCCTGTGCAACAAATTCTTGTGAACATCACTCGGGATCGGAATGCCTTCGCCCTTCAGCGCGTCCAGAGCTAGGTGCAACATCTCAGGCGACTGATCCATGATCACAGAGTAGTGCAGCATCTCGGCGTAGTTGAAAATCTTCAACTTCTTCCGCATCTCCTTTGCCTCGTCCGTCCAACCGTGCTTGTGCAGCTTCTCGGCAGCGTCGGCCACGTGATGCTTGGCGACCCCCTGCTTGCCCTTGGTCATGGCACCCACGAAGTCTAAGGATGAAAGCTTACTCCCCACGTAGACAACGACGGTCTCCTGATTCAACGACTGGATGCGCACTTGCGCTGGCAACTGGCTGCCCTCCAAGCCGCCCGCAGTCCGGAAGCTGGCCAACGACTCGCCTGCCACGGAGGCGGCATCGTCCATGCCTTCGGGAGACCTGGCGGCGCCGCCAGGCGGAGTCCTGGCAGCGATCGGAGTCAACGGATCGCGGTGGAGCGACATGCCACTACTCTGGCGACGAGGTGCCGCAGGCGGTGGCATCGGCGGCTGCCTCGACCCCGACGAGGCTGCCTCGACGACGACGGCGCCACCTTCATCGCTAGGATCGCCATCGCCACCATCACCGCCAAGGCGGTCATCCCGCGTAGTCGGCTCATGTGGTCAGCGCCGCGCCTCGCAGCTCTGTTGGAGTCCCTGCGCTCGTTCAGCCCTGCGGACTTCGCCTTGAGGTCGTCCAGCTTGGGCGGAGCGACGATGAAGGAAGCCTCAAGCGTTGCGCCCTTCTCGTTCGGCACAAGCGCCTCCGAGAGAACCTCGCCGCAAACCTTGTTCAGGCACCTCGAGTCCTGCTGATTGAAGTAGTGCCGATCTGGGGTGAGCCTCTGAGTGCAACGATCCGCCATGAAGGTGTCGAAAAACTCCACCACGCGGTACTTGCTGAGCGGGTCGCATTCGAACTGCCACACTTTCTCGACCGATCCTGGCTCCCTGGGGTTCGGCAGCATCATAGTCGGGACGTGCTTCACGACCATGCCCTTGGGATCCCTGTCGAGCTCCGCCCTCAACTCACTGGCGTTCAGAACATTGACGTACCGCTTCACCGTGTAGCCCGAGGAATGCGACGCCGTCACCGTGGAAGGAATGAAATCCCTCGCCTCCTCCCCCCTCTTCACTGCGAGACCAGCAGACGCAGCATTGTTCTCGTTGCCAGTGTTCTCGGCGGCCACCTCCTCGAAGCTCCTCCAGACTGGGGAAGTGCCCCATTGGAAGTCACGGCAATCCAAACACGGATCGCCCACGGGGGTCGAGACGCCGTTCGACACGGCGTGTTTGGCCCACAGCTTGCCAGCCTGTGGAGGAACCCCAAGCAAGGTGTTCAAGCGCGGGGGGGAAGGGGGGGGGGGCGGGGGCTAAATGAAGACGCCGCCTAAGGCGCCGAGCGACTCATCCAGGAGCACCTAAGGCCCCAAACGCCAAACAAGGCCCAAACCACCCAACGCACCCACATGCGCCTAAGGCCGCCTAGACCATGCCTACGCGCTTACATGGCCTGAGAGCAACCAGAAACGCCCGAAGCTCCTGGACACCCAAAGACGCCAGCGGCCCCCCAGACACCAGCTGGACTAGTTGAACGGAGCCGCAGGGCCCTGCGGTCGGTGCCAGACCCCGAGCAAAACAACAAACGTGGTGTACGTCGCCCTAATGAGTGTTTCTTTTCGGTTAAATAAATGGCGAGGCCTTGTCTGTGCTACACCGATATATGCTCTCGCGCGCTTGCCGCGCTGGAGGTATTTGCAATGCAACTCGCCCACGTCACTAACCACCCCTGTTCAACCGACCTCGAGCAACGCGTTTGATTGTGCGTCAAGCACGTTGCCCTAGGTTCGGACGTAGCTGTGATATGCACGCGGCCCGAGTCTGCTGTACCATATTTGTAGACCAGCACAGCTTACACCCTTGTGTGACCAATGCAACTGACATGGACATCGTTTCTGAAGGGCAGTGAGGATGCGCGAAGTGAACACGACATGGAACTATAAACGCATTTCCTAGCAAATTCACGTCCCCACATGCAGCGGCGAGCCTGGGACTCCTCACTCAGCCTGCAGCCCAGGGTCGTCAGCAGCCCTCGGGTCGATGAGGTCGCGCTCAGCCGCCTGCACGGCGGATGAACGCTAACATAATCGCGAATGGCACGACCATAGGCATAGGCCCATGATCGGCACAAACGCGTTGGCTTACGTTGGTGACCACCCGCCCCGAAGCCTCGCCGAAATCCAGCCCAGCCCACCAGGAGCGGCAGGCTTCAGACGCTAGGCTCCCAAAAGGCCTCCAAGAGGCCCCAAGAGGCCGTCATGAGGACCCAAGAAGCCCCCAAGAGGCTCCAAGAGGCTCCCAGGATGGTTCCAAGAGGCCTCCAAGAGGCTCCAAGGGGCCACCATGAAGCTCCAAGAGGCCCCCAAGAAGCCCCAAGAGGCCTCCAACAGGCCCCCAAGAGCCCCCCAAGAGGATCCCAAGCGGCCTCAAGAGGCCCCCCCGAAGCACCCAAGACGCCCACGAGCCCCCATTGACCGCCAAGAGACCCCCAAGACGTCCAAGGAGGCTTCCAAGAGGCATCCGAGAGGCATTCAACCATCCACCCAGCGTCATCATTCTCCTCATCCCTCCTTCGCTCGGTTCCTCGCCACCCCCTCATCTATCCATCTGGCCTCCTCTTCCGCCTCATCCTTTGCACGGATCGGCTGTCCCTCTCGTTGCTCCCCCACTTCCCTGATCTCTTCAACTTGCCTGGACATCGTTTCTGGATGGGCTGGTGGGGACACGCGAAGCGTCAATCATTTCCGGTATAATTCGGTCTACTCCACACGCAGGACATGACGCTACGCAAAATATGCTCCGTGCAACCTCTGTGGGGAACATAACAGGTCGGATACCAAGCCCCCGGGTCCAGAGATGGTGGACGTAACACGCCACACGGCGCAAAGGAACCCCAAGACGCCCCGAAGAGGCCCCAAAGAAGCCCCGAAGAGGCCCCCAAGAATTCTCCACGAAGTCCCAAAAAACCTCCAACAGGCCCAACAACGACTAAACTGCACGTGTTCCAGGCGTGCACCCCGCGAAGCGAGAGGAATACACGTCGGGAAGTGACGTGCTGAGCGGCAGCGTTTTCTGCGGAGGCGGTAATGCAACGTATCCAACGTGTCCAATGCTGCACAATTGCAATGTATCCCGTTCTTACAGAATTGGTGCATATTGTCAGGGTGGGGGGGGGGCTGAACCGAACGGTCATTCACTGTCCCTGAGTGCGTGGCTGAAGTGGAATTCCGCGATGCGGATTATCGTTGTTGTTGTTGGTGGTGGTGGTGGTATTATTGTTGTTGTTGGTGGCGTTGTTGGAGTTGTTGGTGTTGTTATTGTTGTTAATATTGTTGTTGCTGGTGGTGTTGTTGGTGTTGGTGTTGGTAGTGTCGTTGTTGTTGTCTGCTGTTTGTTGCTTATTGTTTGTTGTGTGTTGTGTGTTGTGTGTTGTTTGTTGTGTGTTGTTCGTTGTTTATTGTTTGTTGTTTGTTGTTTGTTGCTTGTTGTTTGTTGTTTGTTGATGTCGTCCCACCAGCGACCCGCCCCGCGACCCACCCGCGACCCATCCCGCGACCCACCCGCGACCCACCCGCGACCCGCCCCGCGACCCACCCGCGACCCACCCCGCGACCCACCCGCGACCCACCCGCGACCCACCCGCGACCCACCCCGCGACCCGCCCGCGACCCAGCCCGCGACCCCCCCGGCGACCCATCCGCGAGACCCACCCGCGACCCACCCGCGACCCACCCCGCGACCCACCCGCGACCCACCCGCGACCCACCGCGACCCACCCGACCCACCGCGACCCACCCCGCGACCCACCCGCGACCCACCCGACCCGCGACCCACCCAAAATTTTCGGCGCCTGCGGTGGTTTTCTGTTGCATTCGTTCCAAGTGGAGAACCTGCGACCCAAACCGCGTTCAGTGTACAAATCAAAATGTTCGGCGCCTGCGGCGGGCTGTTTTCGAGTTCCTTCCAGGTGGAGGTGGAGAGCCCGCGACCCACCCGCAACACAAACTACGTTCACTGAACAAGCCAAAAAGTCGGCGCCTGCGGCGGGCTGTTTTTGCATTCATTCCGGGTGGCCCACCAGCGATCCCCCCCGCGCTGAATTTGTCAGAGCACTCAAATCGGCGCCTGCGGCGGGCTTGCTCGCATTAGTTCTCGAGGAGGACGACGACGACGACGGAAAGGAGGGGGCAGGATCGGGATGGGGGAGGAAGAGGAGGAGGAGGAGGAGGAGGAAAAGGAAAAGGAGGAAGAGGAGGAGGAGGAGGAGGAGGAGGAGGAGGCGGAAGACGACGACGACGACGACGACGACGACGACGACGACGACGACGACGACGATGAGGACGAGGACGCGGACGAGGAAGAGGAGGAGGAGGAGGAGGAGGAGGCGGAGGAGGAGGAAGGCGCCATCGACAGGGAAAGTGAGGGCCCCGAGGGCCGCCGGCTCGACGCCCGCGACGCCCGCGCCCGCCCCCTCACTCTTATCCGCAATTGCGGGGTGCTACGGTATTGTGTTACATTATGATGTTTCCCCCCCCCCCAGCGCTGCGCCACATCCGTCGACCAAAACCTACGGAAAATCTATGCTTTCGGCCTGTTCGCCCTCTTGGGGTACCCCAGGGGGCCTCATGACGGCTCTAGATGGCCTCAAGACGGGCGAAGACGCCCCCAAGACGGTCCAGGATGGCCCCAAGAGTGCTGAAAAAGCCCCCCAAGACGCCCCAAGAGGGCCCCGAGACAACCCCCAAGAGCGCCTCCAGAGGCCAACATCATTGATGTTCCATGAGGGTTTTGAAAGATTTTAACGTTCTCACCTGTCTCGACTCTCAGAGGCCCATGGCGGTCCAAGCAACCTCCGAAATTGCCCCAAGATGGCCCAAAAAACTCAGAAGAGGACCCAAAGACAGCCCAAGAGGGTCCCAATATGGCCCAAAGAGGCCCCCAGGACGGTCCCAGGCCCTCAAGACGGCCCAAGAGGACCCCAAGATCGCCCCAAGGCGGCCCCGAGAGGCCCCCAAGACAGCCTCCGAAGGGACCAAACGGCGCAAGAGCGCCCCAAGACGGCACAAGACGCCCCCAAAAAGCCCCAAGAGGCCCCCAAGAGGCCCCCCAAAAGCCCCTTCTTGGACGAGGAGGGAGCAGGGGCAGGGAGGAAGAAGGAGGGAGGGAGGAACGCGACGACCGTCTCTTCAAAACGAGGACCCAACACCACAGGATGGTTGGGAAAAATCAAAGCCCCACTTAGGATGTGGGGAATCATGATTCCTCTCGCTTCGCAGGGTGCACGTCCGGAGCACGTACACACTGGGCGTCTGGTGGTTTCCCTGCACATCTGTCGCGCCGGTCTGCCGTGTCGTTCTGCCCGAATTCGGGCGCTGCCAACGCCATTGTGGCCTTTGGAGGGCCTCTGTGAGCTGCTCGGAGCATGTCCAGTCCAGTTCTTTTTCCCAACCATCCTGTGTTGGGTACTCGTTTTGAAGAGACAGCGCCCCGCGTTCACTCCTCCTCCTCGCCCCATCCTCCCCATCATGATCATCATCATCATCATCATCATCATCATCATCATCATCATCATCATCATCATCATCATCATCATCATCATCATCATCACCATCGTCATCGCCACCGACGTCATCATCACCGTCCTCATCATCATCATCATCATCATCATCATCATCATCATCATCATCATCATCATCATTATCATCATCATCACCATCCTCATCATCATCATCATCATCATCATCATCATCATCATCATCATCATCATCATCATCATCATCATCATCATCATCATCATCATCATCATCATCATCATCACCGTCATGATCGTCATCATCAACCCTTCCGGTACACCCCTCACACGCTTCGTGGCCCCATAGGGAGCTCAACCGACGGCTCCAAGGGGGTGCCCGCATGCGTCCGCCACACCCAGCACAGCGTTTCGTGGCCCCATAGGGAGCTACACCGAAGGCCCCAGTGGGGGTGCCCGCATGCGTCCGCCACACCCAGCACAGCGTTTCGTGGCCCCATAGGTAGCTCCACCGAGGGCCCCTGTACGGGTGCCCGCATGCGTCCGCCACACCCGGCACAGCGCTTCCTGGCCCCATAGGGAGCTCCACACAAGGCCCCAGTGGGGGGGCCCGCATGCGTCCGCCACACCCAGCGCGGCGTTTCGTGGCCCCATAGGGAGCTCCACCGAAGGCCCCAGTGGGGGTGCCCGCATGCGTCCGCCACACCCAGCACGGCGTTTCGTGGCCCCATGGGGAGCTCCACCGAAGACCCCAGTGGGGGTGCCCGCATGCGTCCGCCACACCCAGCACAGCGCTTCGTGGCCCCATAGGGAGCTCCACCGAGGGCCCCAGTGGGGGTGCCCGCATGCGTCTGCCACACTCAGCGCAGCGTTTCTTGGTCCCATAGGGAGCTCCACCGAAGGC